GATAAGCAGAACAAAAAAGATAGCTGTTAAAACAGAAAATCAACACGGTTAGCACCTGGTGTTAACTGAAGTATTGCACTTACTCCAACTGGGAGAAACAAGCAAGACCCGGGATAGGGTCTCACCTTGCCCCTATGCCCAGAGGCAAGAGTTCTTCCATGTTGCCCCATTGCTTTGCTCCCTGAGGCAAAGAGGGCCCAGCCAGAGGGGACCTGGGCAACTAGAGATTGACCGCAGACAAATAACCAGGGACTACTGACGCTGCAGTCTCTGGCATAGGTTGCAATACTCCTCCTTCCCTTCCTTTATGTTACTCCATTATTCCTCCTTATCATAATGCGCTACAGTTGTCAGCAGACTCCAGCTGGAGTCAAGAGCCCTTGTACAAAATGTTGAGCCTGTGCACAGAAAGAGACAATTTCTGCTTTAGCATCTAATGGCTGAATGGAAGATGGTGAAAAGGAAGAAGAAAATCTCTTCGGACTGATCTAAATGCATCATTTAGCTGTGAGGAAATATTTTATTTGCCCATCTTTTTTCACTCCTTTGAAAATGTGAAAGAAACACATCATTTAAATATTTACATTTTTTCCTGTTTTTTTTCCAGTTGAAGTTATTCACTGAATTCACAGAAAGTCTCAGAAAGAATCTGAAAATTGCTTCATTTAAAAACTAGACTTTTAGTTGATCTATTTTCTTTTACATCCCTTATGAGTCTTTGAAAACCTCTTCATAAAAAGCTTATGGGCTTAAACAGTCTCTTTTTACACTTTCTTTACTGACTTCTCACCCAATACGTGGACATAGATGTGTCTTGCAGTGTATTTCTTAGCTTTTATAACAGAGGTGTATCTCTTTCGTAGAACAGCAAATTGAAAGGCAAAATAACTGCTCTGGACGATGGAGTGAAATCTGAGTCCAATTAACAAAATGGTATACCTGTCACTGGCAGTATCACAGATGAGGAAAAAGATGGATGAGTCGAACCTATGAAGAGAGAGAAATTTTTGATTTTTGTATTCAATTGCTCTTCTGGCAAAGAGCATCAAAGCAGTGATGAGGATAGAGTCAAGGAAAGAGCCAACTCGTTCCAGCATCGAAGCAGTGATGAAGGTAGAGTCTGACAGTTCTCCCTCTGCACAGAAGACCTAACAATTGCCATGTTTGTTCCTTGGCCATCACTAGATGTTTCCAGCTTACATATCAACATATGCGCTGATCTGGTACCTGTTAATGGTGGGCATGAAGTGAACTGTATCTTCCAGGGAATGGGATCCAGCTAAGATCTTTATTTCATATGAGATTGGGAAGGATGGCTTTCAAGGTGCCAAGCTAGGATTTGGAAACATGGTTTCAAACAGGGCCTCTTTTTCCCCAGAAATGTAAGCCAAAACTTCCTTGGTGCAAGAAATTAATCGAATTTCTCCCTTATCCTGAAAAGGAAGCTCTGAACTTGAGCCACTATTAGACATGGACAAGTTTTTAGCAAGAGTTCCTGTAAGAGTGGTCTCTTGATAAATCTCTTCGTGCTGAATGTTGCGAGGGAAAACTGAGAAAGAGGAGTATATTACTTATCCAGCCCCATTAAAGACATCACATCATAACAAAGAGAAAGGCAACACTCTGAGGGAATAAGTATTTGGTGCATTAATTACAAAGACCTGACCTCGCTCAGGTTTGAGTGTACTTTTGCAGGAAACTGGAATTATTATTCTGTTGAATTAAAGGCCAAGATGGCCTATTTCATCATCCAGTCTCATGTTTTTCATAATCCTAATTTTAAAATTTCAAATATTTCTAATCTTTGATTATTCAATAAGTTGTATAATTTTCTAGGACTGGTATGTTGATGGGTTATTTCCATCACAGCAAGAAATTCCTTCATCCTGATAGTACCAAGCAAAATTATCAATGGAAAAAAAAAATGGCTGTAGTGAAAGAGGACAAAAGATCAAACAACAAATTGTGACTGCTGTACCTGGAACACTCTGAACTGGGCACCACAGGGAAACAGACGGACCTATGAAGAAGTGGAGAAAGTCCTGGGTTAATACTGAAATAGTGTGTCCAGTGAGTAAGGTGACTCGTTCTTACAGTCAGGGCAGCAATGAGGGGCAACGATGGCCAAGTGTCACCTGAGAGGTCACTCTGCAGGCAAAAGGGCCTGCCCAAACCAACCATTCCACATGGCCTGGTATGGGTCACAAGGGCTAGCATTCATCTCATCTACTGTTATGTAGATGTGGCCCCTGAGATAGTCATCTGGGCTCTGAGATAGTCACTGGGGAGAAACAAGCCTTTAAAAGGTGCAATTCATCTCATGCTAAAATAATCGTGAAATAGGGCAGCTAACACAACACCATCAACACCTATTGCCCTCTCTTGGTTACAAAGGTAGTCCAACTCGGATGTGGGTATCTATGCAGTAGACGTCTAAAGTTCTGCAAGATTAATTTCCCCTTAAAGGTCCAAGTACTGGTGAAAACCAGTTTTTTCCACTCTCTGTTAGACATGTTGACCTTGCATTGGCTCCCACCTCTTTAAAATTCAGCCTATCATACTCCTCAGCCTCAGAGGAGGTTGGGAGGGTAAAGAAAGCTGAGGACTGTAAAGGTGGTGGACAGCTGGGTCCTCCCACCTTCAATAGTTCTGCCTGACACCCAGAGAGAACCCTAGACCCTCAGTGTTATCAGATGCTTGGGAAAGGGGCTCTGGTTTCACTTTGTGTATGGAACTCCTGCACTGTAGAGTTAGGAGGGAGAGGTAGAAAATTTGGGTGGAGTAGAGGCCATGCAGGTTTGGTGTTTGGTTTTTTTAATTAACACATCTAATGGCATAAAAGCAAGAGGCAGAGGTTCTGCAGCCTCAGCTGAGAGCCCTGGTGGCTCTCTGAGCAGTGAAACTCAAGGTGCCAGACCACAATGGTGCATGCCCTGCTGAATCTGGGTCCATAAAGACTACAGTGCAATATTGGTGGGCTTCTTATTGTGTCTCTGCTCAAAACAGCATCCTGGGTGTTAAATTAAGAACTGAGCCACATTACTCAGGTTTAGCTATGGACTAGCTGCACCCTGGATTCTAAAACCCTGAGCAATCATGAGGGATGCTTAGATATACCCTTTGGAGTATCTTACTGTGAAGTGACAACAGATGACCTATAGCCACCAGGAGGAAAGAGAAAGTCTTATTCTACTGTTTTCTTCCCAGTATGTGACAGTGTGGCTTTATCTGCTCACAAATTCCTGCAGTTTTGCACTTAGTATGAAAGGATACCCAAGATAAAGTAGGATGCAGCTGTGTCCTCCCCAGAGATGTCATCTCCATCAGTCAGAAATGACATCTCCATCAGTGTTGGAGCCCTGAGGTCCCTGATCTCTCCATCGTGAACCCCAAGTAGGTTGTTCCCTAGGATTGATGTGCTGAGTTGGGGGGGTCTGGACCCTACATGAACAGATCACGACACCGATGTGATGCCAAAGCAACCATCTTACCTGGCTCAATAGTCTGTGGCAGCCCCTTGTCACTGTCGTTGGTGCATCTCATATCAAGGGGGGTCCAGATGATTTTACCATTCACCTTCTTGCACATGCGAGTGCCAGAGGTGGGGGGTCGCTTATCATAACCACTCTGGCATTTGAAATGTAATACTTGTCCCACGTAATACGATTTGCTCAGTTTTAAAGAGGCATGTGGAATAGTCTTGGGAGGACCGCAAAAATCTGTGGGATCACAAGGCAGTACATGGTTAAAGCAGATAGATTTTATCTACTGCTTTTGTTCTTGAAACAACATGATTTGTATTCTTACAAAATATAGACAAGCAGGATATACCAAGCCTTCCTAATTCTTTGTTAGGATATAAATTGCTCATTCACTTACACCGTATCACTTGTTCGGCCAAGATATTACAGCAATTGTTTCTTTCTCTCTGTCTGTTAAAATAATTAAAAATTACTCATCATTCTTGCACTGCCTCCATGGAAATCAGTGGGAGAAGTGTTACAGTAATGAATGGGCTCTTACTTACCTTTCTGGTCAAACTCTGAAACAGTTTTTCGCTTCTGGGGTGCAGGGCTCTGTGTTTTTCTTTCTGGCTTCTGTGCAAAATCTAACTCCATCATGGGAGCCGCTGACAACAAAATTTTCTCATCTGTGGGAGAAGTTATATTTACTGAATTACAGCAGGACAAATAGCAGAGCAAAGCCAGAGCACTCAAACTTTTAGAGGCAAGACAGAATTGTTGCAAGTTCTAATTTGAAAAGATACGCGCAAAAAGTCATTTGTTAGAGCAATGCCCAGATGTGTCTTATACTGACTCACTCATCGGATAAACACCTCTACAACTCTAGAAAAAGGACAATAATCACTTACCAATGCATTCAAATTCCTTGTAGACCCAAGAAGCAAACTGCGGTGTACTCCGACACAAAATTCCCGGGTACTGGCCACTTCTTCTCTTGTAGCCACTGTCACATTCATAATACAGTTTGGTGCCCAGTGGGTACATTTCAGCAGTAACATCAGCAAATTTGATCCTTGGAAGAGTGGGACATTCTTCTGCAAACAGAAAGGCTGAGAATCAGGACAGCCTGTGCATTTACCTTATTCACCGAGGACTTCCCACATCTTTCTGTCTTATCAATACCAGATCATGCTCAGAGCTCAGTGAAGTAAGCCTAATTCTGCTTTTTGCCACAGGGCTAAAATCACAGCTGAGGGATGAAACTGGATGTCATAAGGGTAGCAAAGCTTTGTTTCTTTGATTGTCTCTAAGGCAAGGAGAGGCTCTGAGTGTCTGGTGAAACTGTTAGTTATCTTAAGCATACATTTTTTATTGTAATTTTAGAGCAATCCCACCATCCAAAGCCTTCTTCACATTGGAGTTAGTTGTTGCCATTGATTTTATCAGTATAGATTTGTTCAGGATGCAGAAAAATCCCTTGGGAGTGTCTCCACCAAGTGACATGAAGCCTGTATTTGTCTACACTTTTTTAGTTAGGAGGGGTTGATTTGACTCCTTTGTGTTTCTTCTAGAGGAGAAAGGATGTTGGAGCAAGGATGTTCTGCAGCATCTGGGAATGGTGGTAGGAGGTACCAGGTCTATCTGAGCCCTTTCTTTCTGCACCCAGCAGATGGGCAACATGAAACACTACCAACGTTTTCTTAATGAAGCTGTACACAATCATATTGTAGAGCTGCTGCCTGCACCGGAGTGTGCAGCCTTGAATCTATGGAGTGAGGCATGATAAGCAAAACTAAGCCATTAAAAGTTGCAATCATCTATAAGCAAACATTGGAAAGGGGAGTAGACTCTCGTTCAGTCTAAGCACACCAAAGAGCAGCTTACTGTGAAATAAGTTTGCAAACCTAAATATAACTTGTCCCAAAACAAGGACGTGAAATGCTGTGTCATCAGCAAATCACATCTAAATATACTCCTCAATCAGTTCAAACGAATTAAGTTAGATCATTTCAGTGCACTTGAAAAGCCCACTGAAGCCTAGCTGGAGACCCAGAAGTTGATAAAGGCAGTACTTAATGATTATTTAAGACCTAAAAGCTGAGAAATTCAAGGATAAAACAGGCTGGTTGCATCAAGGCTGGCATTTGGGATCTTTGGGTGCATGATCTGTGGCCCTTTATACTTATGCGTAACAGTAACAGCTATTACAAGTAAAATTTCTTAGTTGTCATGTCTTCATATTTTCTGCAGCCGTAATTAATGCAGCCTTAGCAACCGGCAGGAATGACTGCGAAAGGGCCTTGAATCCCTGATAGTTGTTCATCATTTGGCATCTGCCCTTGACTCCCAAAGTGCCTTTTCCTTGAAACAAAGCCATTCCTTGCCAACAGCAACCCCATCAGCGACTCCCCGACCCAGTCCTGCAATGCCCTTGTCTTTCAGAGCCACCCATCATTTTCTCACTTTGATATTTTCTGCCCTTTTTACTTTTCATTATCCTGCCACTTAGTAAAAGTCACAAAGTTTGAAGAAGGCAACAATGAAAAGTATTGTGAGTGGCTTAACAGCTAAGCTGTCTAAGGGATATTTCAATCCTCTTGTATCTTGGTGTTATCAAAGGATTTGCCTTGTAAACTACATCAGACTGTGGCTTCGAGAGAAGCAACTGTACCCGAAATAGTTAACCACATGGTTTACCACAGACTGTCAGGGTGATTAAAATTAAAGAGTTATCAGATTAGCAGCAAGTTGAGATCACGTACTCTCACTTTCCCTGAAAGCTAAAAGCATGTTTCCCTCAAGACTTCAAAAGCCTCTTTGAAGCAGACTGCAGATCTGAATCTCAGCACGAGGCACTCAAACCTACAACTCTTTAGTCTCTTCTTAAGAAAACCCACAGTATTTAGCCTACTCATCATAAAGGGCAACTGTTGTTTTAATCGATGATCAAATGAAGTTAAGGTTCTTCTGAACTTGCACGCGTCAGATAAGGATTAGGCAGAAATGGTGCACACAGGTGATGGTGAGCAACACCCATCAGGTTGGTGCTCTTGGATCATCACATCCATGTTGCAGCTGGATCTCATGCAACACTCCTAGGATCCAAGCTTTTCATGTCATCCACACCACTCAAATTCTTGTCTTCTCACATCTAAACCACTACAGTATCTATTTCTTTGGCCTTTACAACCACATTCCCATTTCTGATACAGAAAGCACTTGGAAAGATGAATTTCCTAGGTCTCATTGTGACCTTCTGTTTGCTTCCTTCTGTTGACTTCTAACTGCTTCACTGGCAAGTAAAATATTTTACTCCCATTTTCAAGAACTTTCTCCTTATCAATCATCATACCCTCTCAAAACATCATCTTCTTTTCCCATGCTAGACCTCCTCACCAACGTGTTTGATATCAAAGTCATCAGCTTTTGGTTTTATTATTGTACCAAAATGAATGGATATGGAATGAATATCAACATTTCAAGTTGCCATTATTCCTCTTCACTGTCTTTAATTATCTTATATATCTTCAGGAGTGCCCTTCTTTAAATAGTCTTTTACCCATCATTCAAGAACAGGTAGGCACCCAACACGCTGATCAGTATTACTTCTATACTTGCTTGCCTTACACTTGGATCCTAAACTTTCTGTGTTGGTCAGCTATTTACACCATGCTTACACTAACATGTCCTAACTATCACCCAGGACTCCAGGCATTGTGGCAGTGGATGTGATAATAACTTTTGATAATGACTACACACTCAGCAAAGTCTATCTGAGAATGGAAGCTGTAGTTTGGCCCACAAGAACTCCCAGTGCTTTGACATTTAGCAGCATCACAGGTTGAAGTTAATTGCTGTATTCAAACTCCTATTAGGGAAGAATAAGCATCCCCCAAAGCTGCAGAGGCCGTAGGTGGTGGCATATAGGTGTGCAGGGGTGTTTCATGGCACTGGACCTCTTGGCATAGTGTGGGAAAACTGTGCAGAGAGTAAGCAGACCTGGATCTCTGGAGTGAATCATTCTCAGCACTTAATTCAGTCTATGTCTAAGGAAACTGCATGGTTTGCCCCTAAAAAATCAACAGTCCTGCTGTGCGGTGATAAAAGACTCAAGGAATGGGAAGAAGCCAGGAACCTAGAGAATGGCAGTGTAGATTTACTCCTTGACTAGATTTCTGACTTTTTACATTTTTAGGGGAGATTAACTTTGCTTTTTTTGCTGTTTTGCAACCTGGTTGGGAATTAGTCTGTCAGTTTGTTTCAGTTGGTGTGATATGAAAATATAAATCTTATAAAAGACCAGCACACCTAGGCGTAAGCTGCTCCATAGCCTGGTTTTGCACAGCCCGGCTTCCCTCTGGATTCTGCATCCCTCCACAGCGGCTCCAGGGTTACAGTCCTGCTAGTATTGATTTAAAAGACTGCCCTCAAATCACCTTCAAATCTCTTGGGATTTTGTTTGCCTCCTTATATTCCTTCTGCACATCCTCCAATTCTCCATCCCCATGACAAGGTGCTGTGTGTCTCTATTTCCTTCTCTTTCAGTCCCCATGTCCTCTGTCCTCACTTTCCTTCATTCACAAGCTTCATCAGCCCCCACCTACCATTCTCATCTCCTACACCCCAACAGTGCCCTGTGACTCCATTTCTTTGCACTTCGAGGTACTAACACAATGTATTGAAATGGGCTAAACAGAGAGGTTGGTACAATTGCGTTCATGGGATTTAGCACTGCTATGGGTTGCAGAATTGCTAGAACATGTAGCTCTCCTGAGGCAGCTGAGAATCCACATTTGTCCCCATATTAATGGATCTTTGGTGCCTACGGAATTTCAGGAAATTTTAGAACAGGTTTCAAATATTATCATGTAGTGGATGGAGACATGTCCTTGGAATTAGAAGGAGAGTAGTGAATTCAGATCATAGACATCCATGAAACATAAAAATTAAAAAGTAGTTATTGCATCTGTCCTGGTTTCAGCTGGGATAGAGTTAATTTTCTGCTTAGTAGCTGGTACAGTATGTTTTGGATTTAGTGTGAGAATAATGGTGATAACACACTGATGTTTTAGGTGTTGCTAAGTAGCACTTATCCTAAGTTAAGGATTTTTCAATTTCCCATGCTTTGTCAGCAAGCAAGCATACAAGAAGCTAGGAGGGAGCACGGCCAGGACAGCTGACCCGAACTGGCCAAAGGGATATTCCACACCATTGAACGTCATGCCCAGTACATAAACTGGGGGAGTTGGCTGAGAGGGGCCGATCACTGCTCAGGAATCACTGCTTGGGCATCAGTCAGCTGGTGGTGAGCAAT